TCAAAAAAAAAAAAAAAAAAAAAAAAAAAAAAAAGCAAATAAAAACCTAATAAATGCTAGAGTTAGATTAGAAACTAAGAGTTATGGGATGTGGACTTATTTTACTCTCTCAACAAATCCTGCAGCCACCTGGAACTTCCTTTTGTTTCTTTCCTTCAAGTTTTAAGGCTGCGACTGGTTACTGTCAATTCTGAAGCTACTACCTTCCATAGGAACCAGATGAAAACCGTTAAAAATGCTTTTTTGTTAACAGAAAACCATGATGCTACCAGCAGTTGTTAAGGCAGCAAAACAGCCAACATGTTTATTTCAACTTTCAAATTCAGATTACTTTAAAAAAAAAAACAAAAAAACAAACTGCGTTTTTGCGTTTACACTGCGTCAATGCGTTTACACTGAAATGTTAATTTCAAGGGAAACAACCAAGGGCATTAACTCTTACAGCCATTTTCCAACCTTGTTCTCTTTTACTTGAATTCTCAATCACTAAAAATTACTCAAAACCAGGTGGAAAACTCTAGGACAAATTATTTAAACACGTTCAAGTGCCACAAAGCACACTCTCTTGCCGGAGAGACAATTTAGAAACTAGCTTCACTGCTGCCACAGTGCTGGCCACATGAAATGGTTCTTTGCACCTGCACGATGTTTTCACGGTCGTTTCGTATTCAGCACTAAGAGAAAGCCTACTTAAGTATTCCAAACACCACCTCCATTTATTCCTTTCCTCTAAACTGAGCTCCAGGCAGAGGTGAAATGCTGCTGACCTTCACACAATGTCAGACTTCCATGACTAGCTTCAGCAAGAGCTGACAGCAGTTTCCTGACCTTCAGCAGGACGCGACCCTAAGAATCCGCCGAGAGGAAGCTCACCGATTCGGAAAAGGCCTCGGAGAGCTAGCGCCCAAGCCCTGACCTTCACCCAAGACCCCACTTCCCGGGCCGCTCTCAGTCGAAGACAGGAATCTTGAGGCCTTCTATCTGGACACCGTCGAGTTCACTGTCTGCCCTGTACCATTCTGCCTCACTCTGCGCAGGCAGCGAGGAAAAGGGG